TATAATATAATATAACATATTCGTACGCTTGTTTACTTGAACAGGTTCGTGGGTTGAAAAAGAGAAAAGAGGCAGCTGATGAAGAAGCTAGGCTTGCTCTTGAAGATTATGAGTCATCATTGAAGCAATTGGAAGGTAAAGGTGGGGAGCAAAGTCATGACATGGGTGCCTTAAGTGGTAGAAGAGTTTTTGGTGTTCCTAAAAAGCAGGTTCAGGAAACAAGTAAGAAGCTCAAAACAGATAATTACTATGGCGACAGTGATAGTGAAATTGATGTTGAGACCAAGGAAGATGAGGACTGTGAGCAGGGGAACGGTAATCTTTCTGTAAGAGAAGTAAACATTGACCCTGATTTTCTTCGTGAAGAGTCTGAGATCAGTCATGATCCTGTGTTTAAGGTGATCTATCTTCCTTCGAACTTGTTTTATCCCTCCTTCCCCTCTCTCTCTAGATGTTTATTTATTTCTCGCTTTAAGAATAGAAGGGTTAATATACATTCATTCATCTCTTTATTAAATGTCAACCCACACAATCTTATGGTTATTTATTTGCGGTTTATAATGCTTTTTCCACAAAGAGGGCCAGTCCAAGATCTACCGTTCCTCTTCAAATACAATAGATGCTCTCAATGGAAAGGCGCTACCCTCTTTCTCTGTTATTCCAGCTTATTTATGATTTTGTCTCACGAAGAACGACCGCCACCATAACCCTCCCACCCCACCCCCAACAACGAAAAAAAACTCGGGCCATCTCAGCAAATGGAGAAGGATCTGAAAATGAATGTGCTGGCTAGGAAGCAGGAACCTTTGTATCCTCAGCCCCTATTGGGCCCATCCACAACACAGCATCACTCTGTGCTGGTCTGTCTGACTGTGCTATAAGTAACTTCTATTCATCCTCCTGGACACCCAAACCTTGGGACACTTTTCCAGGGATTCAGTTTAATTCTCAAATTCCCTTATTCTATTTAGTGGCGAGGGACTTTTTTAATTAAACAGGTCTATAAATTACCACATTATGTATTAGGGTCTCAAAAACCCTATATTGTCATGTGACTCATCTCTAAATCTGTGTCTTATGTCTCACCTTCCACATGTTTTTCTAGTGGTCCTTGTTTCAGTATGTGTAATATATGTTTTAAAATTTGTGGATTGTCAGAATTTTGAGGATATTCTTAAAGTCCCTGAACCCAAGGCAAATTATGAAGTTGGAATTTTTGCTTCCGACTCTTGGAAAAAGGTTAGTATTGAGGTTGTGTTTTTAGTCATTTCATTTAATGCTTAAATGGGGAACTTGCTGCTTTTAATCTGACCAATTTTTGATAAACAATAGAAACAGAATTTATCAGATGGTAATCAGCAGAAAAAAGCTGCCAACAACAATGTTGGGAAGTCTTCAGTACCTGGAAGACCTTCAAAATATGACCAAACCATAGAGGTATTTCCTGTTCACATATATCCATGCTATCGTGCATAACCATTTCTATTGGCTAGTGTATATTTATCTCTCTCTCTCTCTCTCTCTCTCGTTAACAGGAAGAGGATGACGACGATGATGCAGATAGTGGGGCAGAAATGGTGGATGGAATTATATCTTCCGGGACCAAGTCAACTTATGAACTTCCATCTCAAGAAGAGCTTACACGCCGTGCTTTTGCTGGGGATGATGTTGAAGAAGAATTTGAGAACGATAAAGAGGCGATCCTAAATGAGGAGAATCCAGAACCTGAAAAGCCTGTTTTACTTCCTGGCTGGGGCCAATGGACTGACATACAGAAAAAGAAAGGTCTACCTTCTTGGATGCAGCAAGAGCACGATATGGCCAAAAAGAAAAGGGAAGAAGCTCTCAAGAAGAGGAAAGATGCACATCTTAATAATGTTATCATCTCTGAGAAGTTGGATAAAAAGGTTAGTGTCAGTCTGTAGTTTGTTCTTTATTTCTGAAAGAATACATGCTTTGTTACTTCAGCAATGACTGATAGTCAAATGACCATATGATGGAAACCAAGGTGGATGCCACTTTCTGATGGCATGACACTTCTTTTCTTTCACTTAGAAATTCTAAAAATAGAATTCATGTTCTACTCATATCTAGCTAAACATATGATTGGTCAGAGAGGCAACTCGTTGGAAAAGTAAGACGAAGAAGAAATAGGAGTGAGGAAATTTGATTTCCAATGTTTTTTGTTGGGAAATAGGACAGAGAGAAGAATAAGGTGGGAAGTTAATTTCACTTCTTTCTAATGACACGTGGCATATTTTCAGTACATATCTACATGCGATTAGATATAGAACAACAAAAAACTGTATTATTCTAGAAAAAACATATCTACTTGAGAAAGCCTAAATTTTTTTTACATATTATCCATTCATGATATAAAACACGAGGAAAGAAATAGGTTTTCTTCTCCGAAGAATGGGAAATGAGGTGCAACATTTTTTCATGTTATCCATTCATGATATCAAACATGAGGAAAGAAATAGGTTTTCTTCTCAGAAGAATGGGAAATGAGGTTCAACACTTATCCTCCCAACTTTTATTTTTTACATTCACTTTCTTTGTCACTAGATACCTCATTGTAATTGATAGGATTATCCTTCTTGGTCAGTTCTCTTACCCGAGTAGATGAGTACGCTTAGTGGCTTCTTCATGAGAATGGTGTGAGGGCTTGCATTCTCGAGTCACACTTACTATACATGTTCCACTGTTTATTCAAGGAAATCGTGCATTTGTACCCTTCATATCTATCGTAGTTTATGTTTTGCTTTACACTGATTTATTTTGTTCTTTTAGGCTGAAAAACTGCACACAAAGACTCTGCCTTACCCCTACACATCGAAGGAAGTTTTTGAACAGAGTATTCGGATGCCAATTGGACCTGAATTTAATCCTGTCACAGCAGTTGGAGCTCTTAATCGTCCTGAGGTTCGTTTTTAGAGCATTTGTCTTCTTTTTCTTTTCTATGTTTTCTCTAAATCTTATTGCATCCATACTCCTATGGTCGCTCACAACTATCAGTGTTGAATATAAAAAGAGCTTTTAGTTGCATAACAATGACATATTTCTTCTTTTCACGAAATGGAGCTGTTGAGAAAATTAAGGGCATGTTTGGCTAAGCTTAAAATTTTCACTTATAAGTTTGCACTTTAACTTATTGTTCTTAATAAAATATGCCACTGTGAGTGGTTTTTAATTGAAAAAGAGTTGAAAAATGAATACTTCTCATCTTTGGTCAAAGTTGGAAATAACTCTTTTTACTTGAGATTTAAGTTAATGGAAGGATATGTTTGTAGACAAACTTTTCTTCCTTTTCAAGCTTTAACCTGGCATGCTCTAAGTTTCATTTTAGCAACGTGTAGCTCAGGTTTTGGCTACTTATGGACAGGTGATAAAGAGAGCTGGTGTGAGCATCAAACCTATCCAATTTCAGGATGTTAATCCCCATGAAAAAGTGGAAAACCGTAAGCGCAAGGGACAAAAACCAAGCAATGGTAAAGATAAAAGTCGATCTACAAAAAAATGAAAGTGAAGGAGATAAAAGCAAAGTGATGCTGAAATTTTGGCCAAACAATATCACAATCTGAATGTTGTGCTTATGATTTCTTTCGCATTTTTCAGTTTTGATATTTATATTTTAAGATATGCCAGAGACGTTTCATTCAACCAAGTAGAATTCCCCACTTGCCAAATTTACTTTCTTGTGTCAGGATAAGGATTTGTTAGCTTCAATTTAGTGGCAGTGGTTAGTTTAATTATCTTCATTGATGAAATACTGTAACAGATTTTGAGGAGCAATCTAGTGTCATTGGATTGGAGGAGGTTTCTACCTCGTTCACTGGCCTGTGTGTATTGTTCTTGTATAGATTTTGGACATGAATTTAAATTCACTTGACAATATATAATCAGTTCATGTGTAATTTCTTTTCAAAGGAATTGGTCAAAAGGCTCTGAATTCCTATGATATTATACATATTTATTCATTTGTTTCTGCATTAAAGCGTGTAATATTGGTATCCAGCCTTCTCCGAAGGAGAGAGTTTGGCGCATTGAAAAATTTGGATGTGATCACATACAAATTTTGCTCATTATGATTCATTTCAAGTCGTATTTAATTTAGCATGTCAAACATAAGTGGTACGTAACATACGCGCTAATTCAAAAATGAGGATTGCTGAAATGAAATTCAAAATGTGTAGTAAAAAATGACAATCCATAATTAGGCCATGTGAGCAAACGTTTTTTCAGCTTGTAGCATAATAGATATATGTTCTATATTATTTTTCTCTTCTCATAGTGCAACCATTAGTTGCAACTTGGTGCAATAGCACAAACTCTATTTTCGAGTCTCGAGGAGGTAAAAGAAAAAAGTTACTTATTTTGACAGCGTTTATTGTCAAGATGGTGGTAACTTGTATACTCTATTTTGACAAATTAAATGATATAGATATCCCCAATAATTTAACCATGTTACAAAAAGTGTTAGAAACATTAAACGAATTTTAAGGGACTTTAATGTAACAAACTGCAAAGGGTAAATGTTCCCTGTGGCTGTTGCTTCAATACTTCCAATTCTCATTCTAAAGCAAACAAGACAGGGAGATGTAATAAACATTGCTATAACAGAATATAAATACAATTGCAAAATCAATTGGAAGTATGTTGTGTATATTTACTTTCCATCACAACTTAACAACTGAAACGAGCGAAAGTTTCAAGAAGCGGGGAGATTGGCCAGCCAAGGAAGCAACTTTTCGTGTACTAAGTCGGGCCTGTCATCATGAGGGCAATGTCCAACGCCTTCCAACAAAAAGAGGTTTACATTTGGCAGACGAGAAGGTAACGACGAGAAGTATTTACCAACAGGTCCATCAATCGGTGTAAATGGATCTTCATCACCCCATAACACGAGGACGGGTAAGTTGATTTTCGGAATTAACTGCACTGGATTTGGCCCGGGTGGGCCGGTTACAATGGAAACAAAAGCATCAAGAGCCCCTTCATCTTCTGCTGGTTTCTTAATAATCTGCATTTAAAGATACGGGAAACAAATGGAGTATCAAATAGAGAAACTGTATACGGTAAAATTTATTCAGAAATTCGTCGTACGTCCACAAGATCCTCATCGACATTATCCTTATTGCCGTAGATGGACGACAAGATGTTCCTCAGACTGTCTCTGTACAATTGACAAACTTGTTATCTTCACATTTGTTCATGTTGACGAAGATATAATTGCTTATAAGCTGGTAAGTTTTTTTTTTTTTATCCAAACATTTTGTAGTACACACAACTTTTACTTTTTAACCACACATTCTTTGGGACTCCCTGCTTATAAGCACTTAAAACCTTAGCCAAGCAAGCGCGATCCTCTTATGTGATAACAACAAAAACATACTTAAGGAGTACCTTTGTCTAACGCGATCAAACAAATATGATGCAATCACTTTTTGCTTCAATAAGAAGTCGAAAAACCAAAGCAAAGGCAAGAGTAGCTTTATCCTCCAGTCATCAACAATCGCCTTGTTGTTCATGCCGCCGGCACAGTTTAACAGTACTAACCCTCGAACTAGGGTCCTAGTAGACTCTGTTAGGAATGGAAAGGTACAAAGCACAACCGAGCCAACGTCAATTAGAGCTAAGTAGTTGTCAGTAAAGGCATATCTGATAGGGAGGATTGGTAGCACTAAGAGTCGAGTTCTGTCCAATATAGCTTACTAAACATACTCTACATGTTTTACGAAAGAGCGGTTCATAGTTCAGCTGCAGGTAGCAGATTAATACATACCTGCAGCAGCAATTACGCAAGCAAGACTTCCAACAGAGTTCCCCATTAGTATCGCTGGCCTTTGAACAATTTCGTCTAAGAAATCCAATATCATCTGTCCACAGTATAATATTGAATAACAACAGGCTTCGTATAGTGAATAACTAGTTGAGTAGAAACCCTTTATGAAGAAAATAGTTGATATAATTTATTTACCTCAGCCCATACTTCCATGGAATATGCAAAGCCTGCTGGCTTATCTGAAGCACCAAAACCAAGGAGGTCAATGGCGTAAACTGTATAACTTTGAGCCAGAGTTGGAATATTCCTAAAATGGCCTCAAAGGCAGAAAAGTAGGATTCAGCTATTGGTTAAAACACCAATATTCACAAATTTTTCACTCTTACTAGAAGCATTAGGTAACTTCCTTAAAAGAATCATATTTTACATTGGTGGAGAAGTTGCTAAATTAAATCAACTGGACAAGGCAACGATTAATGAAGGATAGCAAAGCATAAAATAATTTGTTTTAGTTTAGATTCACAAATTAAGTCCTACAGTGGAATCCTAGTGTACAACGACGTTCTTTTTAACAAAGTTGTACCTGTATTAACATTGGATGGCCTCAAAGAAAGAAAGACATGGATGAAATCTTAACAAAAAAAAATGCATTTTTTAAGAGCAGGAACTAATGATTTTCAAAAGCAAGACTTGTAATAGATTTTTAAAGTGGAAAAAGATGATTTTTGGAATAGAACTCTGCTATATGAACATAATGCATTTGGAAATAATGTTAATCAGTCCAGCAAAATTTTGATTGCGACTACCAAAACAGCAATCAGAAAATCAACAAGGAAGCGCAAAGTTTGTAGCTTTGCCTTAAAAATTAGAATTGAAGATCAAATAAAAGCCGGATCATTGACACTCATTGTAATAAAACACTTGAATGAGAGGGTTAAAATATCCAATGAAGATTGATCTTTATCCTCAAGCTAGTAGGCTTCTTCATCATATCCTATGAATATGTTTGGTAGGCTGCCAGTATTGGACATTACTGATACCGGGCACCATTTCTAACTTTTTTTCTTCGTTAATTCTGTCTAGTCAAGCCTAATATACCAAACATGCTAACAGCATATGCACAATTCACAAATAAACTATCATACTTTTGCTTAAGTAAAGAACACTAATGCTGATAAATAAAAGATTAATACAATAAAATCCCATTAAAATTAAAAACCGCATTTAATACCTGCGCCAATGAGCAACGGAGGCACCAAAACCGTGAATTAGCAGAAGAGGCGGATTCGAAGAATCATTATTGCCTTCTGGGTAAACAAAATAGTTAATGGTGTTACCTTTCCACACCCATTTTTTGCACTTTTCATTTATCTCACTCACGTCCAATGGTAACAACTCCTCCTGTTATGGTAAGAATAGTAATTATATAAAACTCACACTACTTCTCTTAACAACACTGATTTTTTAAGATGCGTCCAAGAGTCTGATTAACATATGGTATCAGTGTCCGAAAAATAGAATGAGCAATTCAATCGATCTAAACCTTAAACGGGCCATTTAACATGCCTAAAGCTTAAAGTAGCGATTCAATCTGTCTAAAGCTGCATAAAATATGAAAATAACAAATTTTAAGAGAGAACCAAAACTCGATACCTTTTTTTCAGTTGACACGGAAGCAGTAGAGGCATTAACTCTATTAATTACACTAATGGGATTCTTGAATTTACGGCAAGAAGAAAATTTGAAGAAATTTTGCGAACTGCTGATGGGATTGTACTGTTTTCGCAGAGTAATTGAAGAAGAATGTGTTGGGAGGAAAATATGGGGTGCAGCAAAATTTCCTGCCATGCCCATCTTTATTTACTAACAGAAAAATGCATGTAGAGAGCAAGAATTTCAGAG